CCACCCGTCGTCATTCCTCGCCATCGTTGTCGTCCGCGTTGTCGTCGTCGCTGTCCCGGCCAAGATTTACCTCGTCATCAACACCATCGTTGTCACCTCCCTCCCTCTGTCCCTCCCTCTCGCTCTCCCTCTCTGCATCATCCCCGCCCGCGCCGCCAATATCATTGTCGCCGTCTTCGAAACTTGTTTTCGGTGTCACCGCAACCGTCGCCCCCCTCCTTCCTTTTGTGCCCACCCCGCAATCATCCTCCTTACCGTCATCGTGCACGTCGCCACCATCGCCAGCACCATCGTGGCCATCATCATTGCCGTCGCGCAGTCGCCATCGTAATCGCTACTTTCGTCACTCTCATCGTACTCATCATTATATTAGCGATCATCCCGCCAGTACTCTGGGCGACAGGTGTTCTAACGAGTTTCTCTTGTTTCGTCCACAGCCCCTCTTCCCCTCGGGGAAGGGTACCCCCCCTCCCTGAGGTGTTTTGGGAGGGGGCCCGATTTGTCAGGGGCTCCTTTTTCGCCCAAGACGGCTCCAAGAGGGCGCCGAAGATGGCCTCCAAGATGGCTGAAGATAGCCGAAGATGGTTCAAGATAGCTTCCGACATGCCTTCAAGAGGCTCCACGACGGCCACAAAACAGCTCTAGGTGCTCCCAGAGCCCCCTCGGGAACCCCCCTTTGAAGCCTTGATCCTTCAACGATCTCAGGAAAACCAGTGATGCTTGCCTTCTCGCCTTTTCGTTTCCGATTTGCTTTCGAGGCCTCAACATGGCACCAAAATGGCCCAAGAGAGCCTCAACAAGCGCCAAAGAGGCCCCGAAGACGGCCTTAAGAGTGCCCAAGGGAGCTCCAAGATGGCCCCAAGAGGCGATTGTGATAACCCCAAAGGGGGGACGAAAATCGGGGACCCCCCTCTCTTCTGATCGACGTCCTCCAAGATTGGCCGAAGAGGCCCCCAAGAAGGCCCCAAGACCCCCCAAAGAGCCCGAAGAACACCCCAAGACACGCCCAAGAGGCAAAAACCATTCAAACACTTATCAATGTGACTGTGCTTTCTCACCCGGTGGGCGTCTGAAGATCCACGATGGCCCAAGAGAGCCCCTAGCTGCGCCCAGAAGGCCCCCAAGACTGCCCCAAGATCGCCTCCCTGCGTTTTTTAGCGTTTCGCGAGGTGTCGGAGGCCCCTTTTTCGCTCAAGATGGCTCCAATACTGCTTCAGATGCTCCACGATGGCCAACAATATGGCCCAATATAGCCGAAGACGGTTCAAGATGGCTTCCGACATGCCTCCAAGAAGCCCCAAGAGGGTCGCAAGACGGCTCCAAGTGCTCACCGAGACCCTTCAGGACCCCCCCCAAGAAGCTAGAATCCCTTTAAACCCAAGGACAATCAATGATGTTTGCCTTCTCGCCTCTTCGCTTCCGATGCGCTTTTGAGGCCTCCAGATGGCCCGAAGATGGCCCAAGAGAGCCCCAAGGAGCGCTCAAGAGGCCCCCACGCCGGCCCCACCGCGCCCGAGAGCGGCCCCAGAGCGTTTTAAGATGGCCCCAAGAGGCGACTTTGAGAGCCCCCGAGGGGGGACGGAAATCGGGCCCCCCCCCCCTCCGTTGATCGATGGGCTCCAAGATTCCAAGATTGCCCCAAGACGCCCCCTGGGCTCCCAAGAGGCCCCCAAGAGGGCCCCAAGACTTCCCAAAAGAGCTCCCAGAGGACCCCAAGACCCTCCCCAAGATAGCCCCAAGAGGGCTCCGAGAGAACCCCAAGAGGACCCCAAAAAGGTCTCAAGAAGACCCCGAGATGGCTGCCAGAGTCCTGGTCCTCGTCCCCCTTCTCCTCCTCCTTCTCCTCCTCCTCCTCCACGTCTTCGTCCAAGTCGTCCTCGTCCTCCTCTTCCTCCTCCTCGTGCTAGCCCTCCGCCTTCGCTGACTCCTCCTCGTCCTAGTCCTCGCTCTCGTCCTCGTTTTCTTCCTCCTCGGGCCTCTTAGGGCCTCCGGGGGGCCGGAAGGCTGGAGTTGTGGGATCGTGTTCCCCCTCTTTTTTGTTTAGCTTTGTCCGCACGCGCATTGGAGCGCCCAGCTTAGTTTATCTCTTCACGTCAACCTCGGCTACGCAAAATGGAACTACACAAAGATCACATGCAGAAGCTGCCCAAATGATGGGAAGGGGACTTCATCGTGCGAGCACTGGCCAAAGATAGGAAGGATAGTGAGCGCCTAGCGTGCTGGCGGAAGGGGATCTTTGCCAGCACTTGCTGGGCCCCTGTATCGACCAAGCCATGGGTTGGATCGATCAAAACTTGTACAGAGGGTCGCCCTGTACAAAGGGCTACGCCGCGTTGAGGACACGGGGAGGAGCGAGGAGACTGTTGTGGTGCCGTAGTGGGGTTATTTGTTTCCACATTTTCCTACATCCTCCCTTGCGAGGCGGGGTCGCTCCCGCCAATCTGAGGACAGCTTCAAAACGGTTAGAGAGACGGCACTTCGCCGCTCGCGTGGAGGACAAAGATGCCTGCTCAAAGAATCGTATTTTCATTTTCTTCTGCCTCGCAATCGTGGCTTTGACGGGTACCTGAGCTTAGGTCGCAACGCAAACACCCCGATAATAGCTTCACCCATCCAGCCGGCTAGGAGCGCTTACCGGAGGAAATACATCGAACCAAAACGGGAAAATCACGACGGCAACCTAGACGGTCGCAGCCGGGGGGCCAGGCATTCGAATCAAAATGGAAGGGGAAGGATGAGGAGAAGGAGGAGAAGGACTATCTATCATGACCCTGGCGATGAAAGAATCCCTCAACCTCGGGATCGGGATGGGAGGGTCGCTCCCGCGAGTCCAAGGTGAGCCTCAAACGATTGGAAAGACTGCACTTTACGCTCGCGTGCAGGGCAAAATGCCTGCCCCAAGAGCATCTACCATGACCCAGGCGATTTAAGCATTCATTGGCCTCGGGACCTGGATGGGAGGGTCGCTTCCATCAATTTGAGAAGAACCCCCAATCGGGAAGGTCGCACTCCGACGCTCGCGAGCAGGACAAAAACGCCTGCCCTAAAGAACTACCTGCCATAGCCTCGGTGATTGTGCCGTATACAGAAACTTGAACCACACGCGCGCTTCGCGCGCGCTGGGGTTCTAGCCAGGCGTGACATCGTCGTCGACAGCATCATCGTCGCGACCGCCGTCATTATCATCATGGGCATCGTCGTCGTCGTCATCACCATCACCAACAAATTCGCCGTCGTCCTCTTCATAACCACCGTCGCTGTCGTCGTCGTCATCGTAGTCACAGTCGCCGTCGGCTCGCCACTGTCACACGAACGGCTCGTCACTGTCACACGAACGGGTGTCGTAGGAACAACCCACCCAGTCATCCGAACGGCTCTGCCCGATCATACGAACGACTCATCCTTGACTCAACCCTGTCATACGAACGACTCACGATATCATGATAACGATCTACTTTTACCCCCAAGAGGACCCCAAGACGGCCCAATAAAGGCCAGAAAACGGCTCAAGAGGCCCCCAAGAGACTACCGAGACGGCCCCTAGAGGGGGAACTCGAACTGACGTTTCGAGACCTTGACCCCCGAGCCCGCCAGCAGGCCCCGAGAAGACAACTAAGAAACCCGAGGGGGCCTCCAATGGGCCCTGCCACCCGTGTGAGGCGAGCAAGCCCCAGAAGGTCCACAACACATCCACCCGAGACGGCCACAGATGGCCTGCAAAACGGCAAAATATGGCCTCCAAAACGGTCTCACGACGCCTCCAAGACGCCCAAGATGGCCGCAAGACGGCCCAAGATGCCCTCCAGACGGCCCAGGAGGCCCCCAAGCCGCCCTAAGAGAGCTCCACGAGGACCCCAAGAAGGCTGCCAAATTCTTTGATCATCCTAAGGTGTTTCAATGCTTTCAGCGTTGTCGCCTTTTCGGGCTTCTGAAGCCTCAAGACGGCCCCACAGGTTCCCAAGATCGCGCAAAGAGGGCCCCAAGACGGCGCAAGAGGCCCGCAAAGGCGGTAGAGCTCCAGGAAGGGCCTACAGCGCCCGAGGAGGGACCCACGACTGCCCAGAGAGGGCCCCAAGACAGCCCCCGAAGGCCAACAGGTTCTTTAGAGGCCCCCAAGAGGCCCCCCAGGAAGGCCCCCAAGAGGCCCCCAAGAGTCCCCCAAGGCTTCAGGAGGCCACGAAGAGGCCCCCACGAAGCCTCCCAGGAAGCCACCGTGTGGCCGCAGGGGCGTCTCTCAAAGGCGGGGGGGGCGGCGGTGGTTCGCCGTAGGCGTCTTAGATGTGAAAGCGACGCCAACGATGGCAACGCCGGTATTCAGCCCGACGGAATAAAGCCATGATGGTTCGACCTGTTCATTGCAACTGTAGCTCAGCACATGTGCCGCTCCCGCTACTGGCTCAACAGTGAAGGCACACATCCGACGACGCGCGCCTTCTCTTAATTTGTGGTCAATGGAAGGGAGGGGGAGGAGTAAAGGCAAATTGGAGGCGAGGCATTGGGGAAGGATGCCGCGACAAGAAGGCAATCTTACAACGAGGAATAGAGGATGGTGAGCCGTAATGATCATCCAGACCTCCGAAGACTCGCTTTTTTCGAGTGGCCGACCTGTCGGAGCTCTCGACCACGTCCCATCGCCCTGGGGGCAGTTTTCTCATCCTGAAGCATTTGCCGGGGCTGCAGGGCCTGGAGACGGCCTCCAGAAGACTCCCGCAATGGCGGAACTCGTCTGGCTCGATTGTTGCCCATTCGCCAGCTCTCGGGAGAGGAAGAGAACGGCGACCTCCCCGCCTCCCACTGGTTAACGGGCGAAGAACGGTATACAATAAACTTTTTCGCCGTCAGGGACACCTGCCCCAGGGCGGCTGGAAAGTTTATACCCTTACGGTGGCACCGTAGGGGTATAAACTTTCCAGCCGCCCAGGGGCAGGTGTCCCCGACGGCGAAACAGTTTATTTTATACCGTTCTTCGCTCGCTGAACTGGACTCGCTAAGCCAAGGTCCTCTTCCTCGTGTACTTCCGGCTGCCGGCGTCGCCGCCGGCCCCGCCTGGGTGAGCGGTGACATCTGCGCCCTCCGCCGCCTCGCTGCCCTGCTCCTGAGGCGGCTCCACGAGATTGGGTTAGGTCGGGCACGTTCCCCTACAGGCGGACTTTGGACGAACAATGAATAATACAAGAAAAATGCCAAATATTACCACAAAATACTCCAAACATCGTTCCCAGACTATTTTTTACTGTTTTTGAATATTCCTCCTGTAGGGGGACACGCCCGACCTAAAGATTGGGGTCGGTGAGGCCTTGGAGTGCGCGGCCACGAGCACGGCGGACAAAATGCCGAGGGGCGACCAGGACGGGGGCGTCCAGAGTTGGGAGGGCGCAGGTCAAAACAGAACCGTTTGAAAACAAGCGCGCTTCAAAAATCATGGCTCTGAGCTACCAAGGGCCCCGAACGGGCCCTGGCCGCGGCGGCCCCCACGGCGCGGCCCACATATCAACCGATATTGCCTGGATGATTTACTACGCAGCGCGCCTTCAAACAGAAGCCCTGCGAGGACATAGGTGGCCGCGGTACCGGCGTTGGTTCATCATCTGAATGGCTCGAGGCACGTGCGCGGCTGGGGGGCCAGGGGACGCACACACACGCACACACACGCACACACGCACGGGCTCTTCATGTCCAAGTCCGGTTGCTTCCAATCCCGGCCCCGATGAACAAGCGAGAGGTGCCGACTGGATGGGGGCGGTAGCGCCGTGCCCACAAATGAAACAGAAGCTCTCCGTGCTGCAATGAGAAGAGGGGGCCATGAAATCAGGGAACACATCATGGCCCTGGCCATGATGATCCACCCAGGTCCTCACGCCCCACATGGACGCACCCGAGATGTACCCCAGGACCTCTGGATTGTTGAGTGTGTTTACGCTGGTGATGTGTCTCCTGAGACCATGGGCTATCTGGCTACACTGCTGCCTTTGGCGCAGGAGTTTTTTAAACAGAACTTTGACTCCAACAGTGTTTGATCACATAATAAAACGCAGCGAAGCCCATGATCAAGCTAATACAAATATCAATAATATTAAGAATAGTAATACGAATAATCATAATACTGATAATAATAGTAGTAGTAGTAGTAGTCGTAGTAGTAGTAATAGTAGTAGTAGTAGTAGTAGTAGTAGTAGTAGTAGTAGTAGTAGTAGTAATAATAATCCTAATAATAATATTACTAGTAGTACTACTAATAATGATGATACGGATAATATTATTCTATAACCAATAACTAATCTTGGTTGTGCTCACTGGCGTCGGGAGAAACCGTCGCGGCACTTTCCATCGCACTTTCGAGGATGGCCCGCTCCGGGCCCGAGGGGCCGCCAGAATGCTTCCGGCCCAGGACCACGCGCCTGCCCACGGCAGGGGGCCCAGGGGCCCCCGTGCGTGGACGCAAACGCTGCCCCCCGGGATGCTCGCGCCCACGTCTTGAAGGAGCCCCGGCGTCGGGGGGAGGGCTGGGCCCTCCTGGGCCGTCCGGGGCGCCCCTCGGGCCGTCCTGGGGCCCTCTCGCGGGCCGCCTTGGGGCCCTCGGTCGGGGCTCCACGCGGGCCGCCTCGGGGTGGAGCCTCGGGGGCCTCTCGGGGCGCCCTGGCGCGTCGAGACGCCGAGGCGGCGAGGGGGCCGCAGCCTCCCGAGAGAACCCCAAGGGGAATCGCTGCTTCTTGCCGTCGCTCGGACGTCCATTTCCTGTACATTTTTCGGTTTCGTGCGTATTTTTTTTTGCTCGTTGGTCCAGGATGGTCCTCGATGGCTCTCGCCGGGGAAAAAATGCACACGTCCGAGCGTTGCCAAGGCTTCGGGCTTCCTGGGGCCCTCGTGGGAGGCCCGTCCCGGGGCGTCTCGGAGGCCTCGTGGGGCCGCCCTGGTGCCGGTATGGGGCCCCGTGGCCCCTCGGCCTCGCTCGCTGGGCGCTTCCCCCCTCCCCTAGGGGGCAAACAGACCTACCTCGCTTTTGACCACCCTCGCTTCCAAGAGATACCAAGCGATGCCAAACTACGGCCTGTACTGGTGAGGCCGCTTGACGAGGAGGCGCGTGGTATGACTTGGTTTTGCCTGGAAGCGAAAGCGGGGTAGGTAATTCACGCTCTGATCCCCGCCCCGTAGGACTCCCACTGCACTGACCTTGCAGACGGTGCTCCAGCGGACTTTTGCGTGGACCTCTGTCCATTGCGGACCCCGAGAAAGGGCGGGCGAAAACCGAAGTGAACTTCATGTGGATCTGTTTCGGTTCATTCCTGGGCCACAGAATCGGCACGAAAGTCACTTCCAAATCCGGGACGAAATCCTCCAGGACACTCCTGGCCAATCCTATCGTTTTCCGAACGAGATCCGCTCTGCGATGTTGGCGCCATCAAACTTCCCTCATGTTAGGTCGGGCATGTCCTCCTACAGGCGGATTTTGCACGAAAAAAGAACATAATCAACAAATACTCTTCAATAGTAAAGACAAGCACCGGAATTCGTCTTCACACTACCATTCGTGGATATTCCTCTTGTCAAGGGACGCGCCCGACTTAATCCTGATGCCCACACCCCCGATGCCATGTTTTTCCCAACCATCCTGTGGTGTTGGGTCCTCGTTTTGAAGAGACGGTGGCCCGCGCCCCTCCTCTCCTCCTCCTTCCCCCTCCTCTCTCCTCTCGTCACCCTCAATTTGGCGCACCCCTCACACGGATCGTGCCCCCATACGAAGCCCCCCCAAGGTCCCAGTGGTGCAGTTCGCATGGCGGCGCCGCCCCATTCTGGCGCACCCCTCACACGGTTCGTGGCCCGATAGGGAGCTCCATCTAAGGTCCTAGTGGTGCAGTTCGCATGGCGGCGCCGCCCCATTTTTGCGCACCCCTCACACGGTTCGTGGCCCCATAGGGAGCTCCATCTAAGGTCCTAGTGGTGCAGTTCGCATGGCGGCGCCGCCCCATTTTGGCACACCCCTCACACGGTTCGTGGCCCCATAGGGAGCTCCATCTGAGGTCCCTGTGGTGCAGTTCGCATGGCGGCGCCGCCCCATTTTGGCGCACCCCTCACACGGTTCGTGGCCCCATAGGGAGCTCCACCTACGGTCCCAGTGGTGCAGTTCGCATGGGGGCGCCCCCCATTTTGGCGCACCCCTCACACGGTTCGTGGCCCCATAGGGAGCTCCATCTAAGGTCCCAGTGGTGCAGTTCGCATGGCGGCGCCGCCCCATTTTGGCACACCCCTCACACGTTTCGTGGCCCCATAGGGAGCTCCATCTAAGGTCCCAGTGGCGCAGTTCGCATGGCGGCGCCGCCCCATTTCGGCACTCCTCTCACACGTTTCGGGGCCCCATAGGGAGGTCCACCTAAGGGCCCCATGGCGCAGTTCGCATGGCGGCGCCGCCCCCTTTCGTCACACCCCACCCGCGTTTCGTGGGCACATATAGAGAGCTCCACCTACGGTCCCAGTGGCAAGCTGCGCATGGTTGCGCCGCCTCAGTTTGGCACTCCTCTCACACGTTGCGTGGCCCCATACGGGGCTCCACCTAAGGGCCCCATGGCGCAGTTCGCATGGCGGCGAAGCCCTATTTCGGCCCCCCCCTCACTTGTTCGTGGCCCCTTAGGGAGCTCCACCGAAGGCGCCAGTGCCACCGCCCGCATGCGCCACCCACACCCATGTTGTCACACCCCTCCCACGTTTCGTGGCCCCATAAGCTCCAACGAAGGCCCCAATGCCACCGCCCGCATGCGTCACCCACGCACATTCCGGCACACCCATCACGTGTTTCGTGGCCCCATAGGGAGCTCCACCGACGGCGCCAGTGGCTGCGTTCACATGCGCCCATCGCACCCATTTCGGCACACCCATCACCGTTCGCGGCCCCATAGGGAGCTCCACCGACGGCCCCAGTGGCTGCGTTCGCATGCGCCCACCGCACCTATCTCGACACACCCCTCACGCGTTTCGTGGCCTCATGAGGAATTCTACCGACGGCCCCAAGGGCTGGTTTCGCATGCTCCCACCGGACAACTTTTGGCACACCCCTCACACGCTTCGTGGCCCTAGAAGGGAGCTCCTCCGAATGCGGAGCACACAACAACAGTATTCACAATTGCATATGGTTGGGTCCTTCGCCAGGCTAATTTTCGTGGCGTCGACCCCGAGAAATTTCGATCCACTCCCCGGGACCCGTTTCTCATCCCGACTCGTTTTGTGCTGACGGTCCCGAGGCCCGGTAACCAAGGGCCCCAGGGGGCCGAACATACAGAAACACCTCCCGTGATATTTTTCCCTACCTAGGCTCTGCCTAGAAGGGTTCTTACTCGGTATGCTTATGATGTGGATGTAGATGCAGGTGTAGATGGTGATGTAGCTTTCGGTTTAGATATAGATGTTGCTTTCCTAGATCCTCCAATTCCTAGGTAGGGTCGCACTGGGATCTTTTTTGTCAGGATTCCGGTGTGTGTGTGTGTGTGTGTGTGGGTACCCCAACGCCCTTGCCACGCCTCCCCTCCTCCTGCCCAGATCATCTGACTTCGTGCTCCGTGCCGCGCGGCTGCCTCCGCGCCCCTAATACCTGGTGGCGCGCGCAAGGGGGCAGGGGGAGGGGGGAAGGCTTCTTGGGAGGAGGCTGCGTGTTAGAAGGCGCAGGCGCTACATCCGTAGAGACGGCCCGCGCCTTCCAAAAAAGCAGGGGTGCTTCTAAGAAGCCTTCCCCCTCCCTTTACCCCCCTGTCATGACACTTCTTCAAGCTGCGTCCAGGGGGACTCCCAGGAATCCTGAACAAGTGCATGAACGAAGATACGTACCCTCGATCCCCGCACTTCGAAGAGCCTGCGCCCTGGTGAATGCGTAGGCCATTCAAGCTTGAACGATCTCCGATCCTGGTCCCCTTGAGGCTTTCGAGCCAACATTCTGTATGGACTTCGCGCCCTGGGCTGTCTTCTCAGGGCACAGGGCTCGAAACGGGCCCTCGAAGGGTGTTCGCCCTTGAGCGCCCGCGCGGGCATCGCCGCCGTGTCGAGGAGGCGCGGACCTGCCGCTGCCTGCCTATTCTACAGAAAGGGACAAGAGAACGACAGACAAGCATA